CGAACAGGGAAGACGATTCCAATCCGATGCCTCAACTGATTGTGTGTGTGGCACGCGATGGTTCGTTGGGCGTCGCTTTAATTGAATAAATAACTAAATATTGAATGAGTCAGGGAGCGCGCTTTAAAGCCCGGAGAGCAAGCTGATTGAATCTAAGTTAATGGCTTATTTATGTGCCATATTGCTGCTCAAAAAAAAAGACGAAGAAAAAAGAAAGAAAAATGAGAGCACTCTCTGTATTGTCTGCTGTTGGTAATTTAGATGGGGCTCGTTTGGCTTCAGGCTTTAATCAGCAAGCACATAAATTGTGCGGGAATCGGAATGCCAAATAGTTTTGTGCCGAATGCTCAATGCGAAATTAAACATAATTTTGAGGCGCATTTAAGCGAGCGACTAAAGATGATAAATGATTCACAACTGACTATGGCAACAATGCCAAAGACTGAGAAAAAAGCCAATAACGCCAGAGACCCATTGCCACAGAGTGCTAAAGACCCACAGCAGCAGCAACAACAGCTACAGCAACAACAACAGCAACAACAATATTGAGACAGCAATCAGCAGACGCGTGGGTGGCTCTGGCGCCCCAGATAATGCGTATGCTATACGGCGTGTCATTCAGTCAGCCATTCAGTCAGTCAGTCAGTGAGTCAGTGAGTGAGTGAGTGAAACAAATTGAGCTACAGGCAGGACTCAGGCAATACAGAATCAGCTCGTCAGTCACTCAGGAAGAGTGCGTTTACTGAAGGAAGACGCTTGTAAAACTAACGATAAGCGTCATGTAATTTGTGATACGAAACGTTTACGGCCCTAGGTGATTGGGTGTGTGTGTGTATGTGTGTGTGTTTGTGTGTGTGTGAGCAAACTCACATTATGAGGCAGCAAATTGATTTATTGTAGTTTTATATATACAGACACACTCACGCACACATCTTATACATATATATATATATATGCAAAAAGGTGCCTTCCGACCCGAAATAGGCCCGGGGTAGTGACCTATTTGGTCAGCAAACTTGAAAAACGTTCGAACAAATGCGAGTAGACATCGCATCATTTATTAAACTGTGTATGCAGTGTATGCATGCTTACGCACAGCACTGTTGTTGTTTGCCATGCTAACGGCTTATCGTATTAGTTAGCATACTTCAACAAAATTACCTCAATATCAATGCACTGGCTGCTCTCCATCATTAATCGATTTATTATGCAAAATTTTAAACAATTTAGCCTGCATTATTCATGGATTTCAACTTGTGTCGTCTCGTCGAGTCCCGTCACTCATTAGATGCAATTATTTTGGGCAAATTCAAATTGTTTTCGGATCGGGCCGGGTCGAGCTGGGCCGGGCTGGGCCGCACCGGATTGGGCTGGTAATTATTTGCGGTTTGTCATTGGCCAGTCGGCTGGCTCGCTTCACAGTTGGCGACATGCGGTGCATTTGCATTTGCATTGCCTGCGGCCGCTCGAAAGGCCTTCGAACTGATTTTCAATTATCCAATCAATTCAATTTGCTAATCAGCAATTATACAAACCGATAATGTTTGATATCCCAGTGATGGATGACAGCAGTTTGTAGCTAGAAAATTGACTGCCAAAGCGAAGACCCAATACCAAAGCGAGCAGAGAGAACATCCAGCAACAAGTAGAACTGCAGCAACATTTTATTATTGATTTTTGGAATTTGCATTAATATTTCAAGTGTAGTCTAAAGTGCACTTTGAGCTATTAATACTTTTCGCCAGAGCTTCCTACTTAAGTTTTATTTTCCCAAAATGTTGCTCATCTATGGATCTACTTTCGTATTTAATCCTTAAGTGAACAAACTACTCAAAAGTAACTTTTGGCAGGTAATTTTGCCTGAATCCATAGAGTAACTCAGGCACACATAAACTCGCACACATATACACTCACACACACCCACGCCTATACACATATAGCGGTTGTTAATGGCTTCTCTTTGCCTCTTATACTTCTTAACTGTAATGTTTATTGGCCGATCTTATTGATATGGTCGTGGCATGCATTAATGTAGTAACCAAATGCATTATATTCCTAAGAGTTCCTTAGGGAAAAATTGATTAAGATATACAAAAAGTGGATGGGATAAGGTTATACATTAAGTGGAATGCATTGTCTTTGCCTTTGGGTTTGATTAGCATTCAGAGATACAATTTTTTTTTAAATTGATCAGTGCATAATATTGGTAGAGTTACCAAACAATTTGTCGTGTTTCGTATAGAGCAGTTGGACGGGTCTAAGTCGACTCAGTCTCTGAATCCTGTAGAAAAGACAAAATGAAAGAATGAATGAATGAATGAACGAATGAATGAATCTATGAATGCATGAATGAATGAATGAATGAATGAATTATTGAATGAATGAGTGATCGAATGATTGAATGAATGAATGAATAAATGAATGACTGAATGAGTGAATGATTGAATGAATGAATGAATGATAGAATGGATGTATTCGAGACATACAAACTCAAGCTAAAAAGTTTTAGCTTGCATATCAATGCAGCTAGATTGAACATTTACACTGGCCTGCATAAATATCACTTATTCACAAATTGGGCATCCATAGTCAACTATGAATGCAGCAACTTCAATAACATTAAGTAAATCAGATTTGTGTTGTCGAGATCAATTTGCAGCTGTTAATATGAATATTTCAATTGTAGCTAGGCTCAGCTTGGAGCTGATGGAAATTTAGGTTCACTAGATGGAAATTTGTTGGTTGGCTGCCAAATGGTTGGGGCTTTTGTTGCAGCTCTAACTGGATGTCAGATGCACTTTGATCCTTTTTGCTAGGCCCGCATCCGGCAAATGTGAAAATGTGTTCCTTCTTCAGTGTGTGTGTGACAGTGTGTGCATGTGTGTGTATGTATGTGTGTATTTATGCATTTGTAGGGCACAGGCTGCAACGTCGACTGGACACTGATGGAGAACGATGCTGGTTCTGGCTCTGACTCTGGCTCTGGGTCTGTGGCTGTGTGTGTGTGTGTGTCCCATTGGGACATATTTTATATTTAATGCAAGACATTTGTCATGCGGTTGGCGCATTTATTCAAAGTATTTGCTGCAATTTTAATGCCAAAATGAGAGCGCAATTTCAAATACCAAAAAATGCACACGAACCGCACCGACTCGGACCGGGCTGGAACGGGTGGGGCGGATGGAACGAGTCGGCCCAGCGCCTGGGCCACACTATTTGAAAATGAATTTATGCGAACATCTGTATGCGAATGCGTATATATATATATAAGTGTACTTATATAACTATATACGTATACATATGCCTTTGATGCAAAGGACAATATGCTGTCATTTGCATGTATATATAAATGTCTGCATATATACATACACATATGTATATGTGTATGTGTATGCTGTTGACTTAAGATCATTTTAATTAAATTCTAACTGGCAACTTATTTATTTTGCGTGTTTTTTTGAATTTCTCTTTACAGAACCACTCGGAAGATGCCAAATTGAATCAATTTTGGAATATATCAAACATATATGCGGGGCAGGCAATAACCAAATGAAACTTTACAAAGCTAACGCTACCCCAAAGGGCATCAATAAATAAGTGTGCATATACTTGGAATATATATATATATATATTATACAGATATATATATATATACATATATATATTTGCTACTCTTTTTCTGTAGATGCTTGCATAGCGCAGTCAGCATAAGAAAGGATAGAAAACACAAGCAATCAAATTCTATTTCCAAATTGAATTTTAAATGCACTCACACACTCGCATTGCCATTGAGTGGGCGGCGGATGGCAAGGAGTAGGAGGGAGGCCAGCTGAAGGGACATAACGACAATATTTGCCATCAAAATCGAAATTGAAGCACTGACAAGGCTAGCTAGCTGGTCTACTTGTTAGCCAGACAAAGTAATCAAAAACTTGCCAAGCAGCAGAAATAGAAACAGCAACAGCAACAGCAGGAGCCGCAGGAGCAGCGGGAGCAACAGTAGCAGCATTGCGGTCCGGTAAACAAGCACCGGAAATCTACGAACAAAAAAGTACGGAAACGCAGCTTGCGATAGTCAACATCAAACAAGCGGCAAGCCGGATAAAGGGGCAAACGAGCCGAGCAGTCGAAAGAGGCGTGGCTCATACATAATACAGGCCACACGGACACATATAAAACAATTGTGTAACAATCATAGCAACAATCAATCAAGAGTCCGATTGCCACAAAGATTTCTTTTGGCGTTGACAAGCTAAATAGTCAAGGTCAGCGGCCAACACCGACCGTACGACCGAACGACCGTACGACCGTACGTCCGTACGAACGACCGACCGGAGATGCCACAAATGTGGCCACCAGCCAGCCGTAGCCGTCTCGCAGACAGAGACTGAGACTGAGGACCGAGACCGAGACTTAGACTCTCTCAACAAACACAAACACAAACATACATTCACACACACACATACACCCACACACACACACACTTACAGACAGAGTCAGTCAGCCAGACGTAGAGACATAGCGACAAGGCTTGCCCGCCCTCGATTTCCGGCCAAATATAGCCCCGCAATTGCAGGAACCCTTGCGCTTTGCGCCTTGCGGCTGCGCTTCCTCCTCCCGCCAGTCCGCCGCTAACAGTCGGCGTACAAAAGAACATTTTTGATAAATGGCAGTTGGAGTAAAAAAATTTGCGGCAAGCCAAAAGTAAAAGTTTACGCCAGCTTGCAAAATTGAAAGGCAAAGAAAGGTGGCACAGATAAGGGCCACAAGCAGCAACAACAACAACAACAACAGCAATAAAACAATAATAACAACAACAACGACAACAACAAAAAGAACAAACAGCAACAGCAACAACAACGACAACAATAACAACAGCCGTCCCATCACGAACAGAAGTGGCATTAGCAAGCGTCAGCCTCCACTTTGATAACAACAGGCGACCAAAGAGTATAAAAAACGAAAGCGAGAGGCAACAAAAAAAAAAAAAAAAATAAATAAAAAAGAAGAGCAAACAACAAAAAAGTAAATAAATAAAAAATAAAATAAAATCGAAAGAAAATAAAAAAACAATTGCCGTAGAAAATTGTTTTCCCTGCCGTACATCAGCCCGCTCCGGCAACGGCAACGGCAACGGCAACGGCAACGCCTTCGTCTCCATTTCCGCCTCCGCCAGCGAGTCGGCATACGGGTCTCGGGACAGCCGGTGTTGCTGGTTATTGATTCAGTTGACCGCCTGATCGATGCGCCATATGTCTGGCTAAAAGACGTCTGCCACAGCCACAGCCAGTTGGGCGCATGCCACAGGTTGCGACAGTTGTCCCGACTCGTATTGGAGTCCGCCTCACGGTTGAGTGATTGTGACTTTGTAGTGTGCCACAGACACTGCTCGATACCGACAGATGACTTGCCAATCGATCGGGCTATTTAAGTAAATGAATGCTACCCCCGATTGCCATCTAACTGCAGACAGAGCTAGCGACCGAGGCTCCAGCCAGATTCCCAAATCAATACACTCAGCTAACCGGATGCGTCCCACTGCGCCCACAGCGAGAATGAGTCGTGCCACACGAAGCGTCCGCCTCCTGGCCAGCGCCTGTCTCCTGGGACTCCTAATCTTGTTGCCAGGTAAGTGGCCACAGATGATAACACTATATGATTATATTTAATGGACTCCATTGGGATGAGTGTCCTGATTCGGAAGTGTTTATTGCGCTTAACAGCAGATGCTTCAAATTCAATTATTATTATTATTATTATTTTTTATAATAATTGAATTCCTACTATGATATCAACCAAAAATGGTTCCACATACTGTATAGAATATACTATATAGAGAAGAACAAGTAAGAACACGCTATCCGATACTCGACCAAGAAATACCTGTATTTGTTGAAAAGTTCGTCTTGGATGAACATTTGAAATCATTCTGGCTCAAATTTCTATTACCGTAAATACTTGGATAGGCATGCAAAACCCAAATTTGACAAATTCTCTGTAAAATTCGCAGTAAAATCGAAATCTCTAGCTTTTGTGGTATTATTGCTATGCTTAAAAAACAAACGGATCGATATTATCGATAAGTAAGGTTATGAAACTAGTTATCGACAAAATTATAAATTCAGTAGAATTCGGTTATAACGACTGCGCCTATAGCATTTGTACGGTTATAGAGAAGAAAATTCTGGTCCCCAGATAACAAAACTTATCCGGTTATAGCGCCTTCTGGGTATAACGACGGTTCCTTGAATATCGTTATATCCGAATTCTACTGTACTTAAAAATTTCAAGACTGTTGCTCTGGTACTTATTTCGAGGGGACAATGCGATAAAAGGACGTACATGACTAGATCCACTCAGTTCATCATCCTGCTCAAGCAGGAATATACTTAGGTGTGCTGCTACTCCTGCTTCTCATGCTTCGAATGATATTTTAAAATAAGCATTTATAATTTAAAGTCTATTGATTTCGCATTTAATACGAGGCTAGATCGACTCAGCTCTGCATCTCGATCAAGCAGGAATATACCCTATGTGTGCAGCCACGCCTCCTGCTGCCTGCTGAAGATATTTTCCACTGAACTGTCATAGCTCAAATTTTAATCAAATTTATTCAGCTACCACGAATAGAGCTCGAAAATTGGCATTTGGCAAGGCAGTTCAGGTAAAATATTTATTTGTATTTTTGATAAACTTAATTGCTTAGTCCAATGGCAGTGGCAAATGCCAAATAATTGCATTTGGCAGTGCCGACTTATTAATTTTAATTAGCTGGCAAAAAGGCAATTATGCTTTTCAATTAACCAGCGAGTGAAATTCCAATAAATTCTATTAGCTCTTAATGGAAATACATAAATACGTACGTACATGAGTATATATACATATGCATATATATATATATATGTGTGTATATTATATATGTATATACACATTTAGCACACTTGAGAGTTTTTCCTGTTTGCTCTTTTTTTTTTTTTTTTTTGCTATTGTTGTTGTTGTTGTGATAGCTGAATGTTGGCCCCCAGCTGGCTATTTTGGCTTGAAGCACAATGCGGCATGGCCTTAACAAATGTTTATTACGCATACACCGCGTGGCAACAAATTAAACATGACTCGCTTTGTGTTAATGCCTGGGGCGACTCGGAGCGCTGCTGCTGCTGCTGCTGCGACTCCTGCTGCTGCCACTCTCTGTCTATCTGTCCGTCTGTCTATCTGTCCAGCGCTGTTGCTGTAGCTGATGGCTGATGGGAACGTAAACGTGAATGTGAGTCTGCTGATTCTGACGACTGGCAATTTGTTTATTTGATTGCATTTTCTGCACTCACTCGGGCCAAGGGACAAGGGCAAAGGCACAAAGGTGGTTGGGTGGCTGGGTGGCTGGGTGGCTCGTGGGTGGTTGGGGTGGTTTGCTGCCGTCTGTTTGCCTGACTCTGCGCACAAATCAAAGTCAACTGCGGTAAGTGGAACGACAAATAAAGTGCAGCCGTTTTATGGTAGCAACTGCCTGCAAGTAGCCCTGGCTGCCCTGGCTGCCCCACTGCCCCACCGCCCCACCATCTCAGTGCCTGCTCCACGGCCCCACACACACAATTGAGCATCGCTCAATGCTGACTGGCAAGCAAATTTTTTCGGCTGCTTTATGTTTAGATGCAAACGAACGGCAATTAGATTGATGAACATCGAACATCGAACAACGAGGCTGAGCGACGCTGATTGCGGTGTCAGCAGAAATGCGAAACTCTCTCTCCGTCCAGCATAATGATGAGATTGATGGGCTACTAGTGTCTGGCAATAGATAGCATATACTTTGGCCAAGTTGCTTCATAAATTTATGATGCTCCAGCGCCGGAGGACAGCAGCTGCTACAGATAAATGATATGATGGCCGTAAGCAAGTACAAGTACAAGTAGTTTGCTAGCTTAATCCGGTTATTGTTATTGCCGCTCAGCCCTCCTCCGTGGCCATCCTCCTGGCCATCGTCCTGGTCCATTTGCATAAGCTGCAACTCATACTTCATGCTACAGCGTTGATGCCCAAATGCCGCATTCTGCAGCAGAATTTGAACGTGGCTTCGGATTGCTCTTAGTTATGCATAAAACAAGTTTTGTGGCACGTTTCAATTCATTTTGCCTGAATGCTTTTGGGCAACTCAGCAGCTGCCCCTCCCCATTCCCACTCCCATTCCCATTCCCATTTCACTTGCCCCTCTTCCGTACCAACCGCATCAAAAATCCTCCGAATTTTTTTGGCTTGAGCCTGCTTGGAAATAATTCCTGTTTGCTTCAAGTATTTTTTTTTCTCTCTCTCCTGCTTTTTGCATATTTTCCCTGTGTTTTCTTTCAGTTTTATGAATTTGTGCCACGTCCACGCCGCCGTCGCCCACATGCAGGCCCGCATACACGTGTATGTTATTATATGAATTCCGAGCGGTGTTTTCTTTCTTTATTTTGTGTTTTTCTTTTGTCAACCCGGTTTTATCTACACCCTTGCACAAGAGAATTTTTTGGTTGCTCTGCCGCTACCCCGCTACCCCGCTACCCCCACTCACTCACTCCCTCACTCACACATTCCCCACAGACTGACACACATAGCCACAGCCCGAACTACCTACCACATTCGCATTTAAAGCCGCATTCACATTCGGATTCTGGCGCCAGGTGCCAAACGCTGACCGCCTTCAATATGCATGCTAATTTCGGGTTCCCACTGACGTGGCCCAAAGTCCCGAACCCTGATCCGGTCTCCAGTTGCCACTCACCAGTCACCACTCGCCACTCGCCAGTCAGCAGCCTCCCATACCCCATACCCCATACCCCATACCCCTCACCCTTGACTCTTTCCTTTGTCCCCGTTCAGCGGTTGCCTCAATTTGATTTTAGGCATAAATATTCATGAATTGGTGTCTATGCGATTGCGATACGTCCGTGTGCGCCGTAACTGGAATAGTTGCCGGCCAGCTCGCTGATAAAACAATGCAACAAATTCCCGCAATAACAAATTTCCATCGCAGCTCTAAGCCGCACCACATGCAGTGTTTGCCCAACGAACTGCCGGAACAGCGGACTCGACTGCACTTGGCTGGGTCATTCACCGTGCTCGACTAGGGAATGCTCGCTCACAATGGAAGGCAATGCGTGGCAAAGCTATGTGAACTTTGCTGAATGTCCACAGAGTCCTCTCTCTTAACAGTCGCTGAAATATGTCCTCTCTCTGCTTAACAGTCTGTGCAATTCATTGGCTTTTCAATAACAGTTTACATAGTAATGTCAACCAATACTTATCACACTGCATGCCTTCCTCAATGGCATGTTCATGTTATATATAAAACTAATACAACCTTTTGCACACTGCCAGCGAGTATTACCCAATAATAATGCTAAACGAGTCTAGCCCAGCTTACAAGCCCTCAAAATTCAATTCAAATAATTGCATTTAATCAACCAATAGCCATTTTATATAGACAATTTCAATAACATTCGTCGTCGGGGTCGGTGCTCGGTGGGTATTCAAGTGCTTCAGTCAGCAGTTAGCGCTTGGCCTTGAGTGAGGCGCGCACATTTGATTCGAGCTCCTTGCGCACGCCCGGGGGCACCAGGAGCCTGGCCTTGGGTATTAGCAGCTTGCACATCTCCCTATAGGATGAGGGCTTCATGCCCAGCTCTTCCACGGCGTCGCGCGCCATAGCTCCCACCTCATCGTAAAAGCCGCAGTCTCGCAGACGCTTGGCCACCATTTGCTTTAGGTAATAGTTCGGATCCCTCTTCAAGCGGGTGGTTAGCGGCTCTTCCCTATGCACTAAATTCTTGCTGCTGCTGGATTCCATTATTTCGAAAAGTTAAAAAAAAAGAAATGAAATAAAAATAATAGTAAATTCTGAAAAAATTCGTATACAATCAATTCGAAGTGATTTCGAGAAGAGACTGAAGCAGACTGAGTTTAGTTTTGACTGAGTTCCTTTATTTTCAGGCGACTCTTTGACAGGAGTCGAAACTGAGCAAACAACGCAACAACGCTTTAATTGTCTTCATGGTAAAAACAGAAAATTTTGTATTTGATTGCTCCAAAAGTTCTGCGCCTTCTATTTGGCCTTGGGTTCCATGAGGGAGCGCATGGCTTCGTGCATATCGCGGAGTACGCGACTGGGCACCAGCATACGTGCCTTCGGCACTATCTCAGCGGCGATGTCCTCGTAGCTGACTTTGTTCACGCCGCGATCGTCGAGCAGGGCGCGTATCATGTCGCGGATTTTTTTGCGCCAGCCGCACTCCTGGAGGCGCCGCTGGAGCTCCACCCTCAAGGTTTTGGTGACTTCGCGAGTCAAATAGGGTCTCTCCATCTCCGAGTCGGTGTAGGCGGAGAGCTCGCTGCTGTCATCCATGGTACCAGATTAAGCTTTATAATTCGGTCAACTGTTTAATGCAGGCCAACAACTCCGCTAGCAAATCAAAAGTAAATTTTGTTTCTTAAATTCCCGTAGACAACTTGTCACTTCGCCGGTTTTCTCAAAAAGAAATTATGTCCACGTAGCTTTCACAGTCGAGGCTATCGATGTACATCGGGTTTGCCCTTATCGATATTCGACTAACCAGCTCTAGAGATGTTATATTACTCAACAATCGACTCAAAAGCAAAAGCTTGCTTAGATTCTCAACGACCTCGACTTGACATAGAGTCGTGTTAGCAATCGCCGAATATCTCACTCTCGATGTGAATTTTGGTCGGAGTTACTCAACACTGATGGCAACACTGTCTTTGAGTTTTCATACGCCTGTCGGCTGTTCTCTTTTTTCGTATATTGATCTGTTTATCTATAGATAATACCTAAAGAATACTTTCCTTAACATACTTCCTTGTTATCGATAAGTATCGAATGACTTTATTGGCACAAGTTGTTGACGATAGATGCAAATTTGTAGAATACGTCGATTCCTTTCTGGAATATTCTAAAGATAACATACATACATATATGTATATAAGTTAATACTAGGTCCGTAATAAGGTTTTTTAACTAGCTTATATTCCTAAAGTAGGCTCATTGAACTACACTTAGGGTATCTGCTAGTCGTGCTGATCCCCGCCCCACCACTAGAGCCCACTTGTTCAGGCTGTGTGTGTGTGAGTGTGCCAAAATATTTGATCAAAAGCAATTAGCTCAATTGGTTATTGAAAACAAATGGCGCTAGTTGCGATAAATTGCATAAATTAGCACACATTACGTATACGCAATGTTGGCCGATTGCAGCTAATGCAAATGACGCAGTGTTGCTGCTGCTGTTAATGTTGGGTACTCTGTGTGACAAGAGACAACAAGCGCTTTGGTTTTCGAATCAGGACATGAGCAAAGCAACATCAGCAGGCGGGATCTTGAATAGCAATAACAGTGCAAAGCCGTAAGCGTTGCGTGCGGCCACGCCCAGCCACTTAATGCCCGCCCAATTAATGCAGCTTAGCGGCTGCTGTTGCTGCTGCTTCTCATGCTGGTCCTGCTGTCAGCAGCAGCAGCAGCAGGAGCAGCAGCAGCAGCAGGAGCAGCAGCAGCAGCAGCAGCAGCAGCAGGAGGAGCAAAAACGTTACTAACGCAACTTCATGGCGTGTTGCAATTAAGTATGACAAATTACTTGACAAGCGCCTCTGGATGCCGCAACAATGTTCAAGTTGCTCTCCATCGGCAACGCCTGGCTGCATCGCACTTCCTGTTGCTGTGGCAGCAGCAATGTTGCTGCCGTTGCTGCCGTTGCTGTTGTTGTTGTTGCTGCTGTTACTGCTGTTACTGTAGCTGCTGCTGCTTCTGCTGCTCCTGCTGCTCCTGCCATCGCTGTCAAAGTGCCTCGGGCGTTGATGCGTGTTTAGTTACTGACACTTGTCGGCCATGTGTCTGCCATGGCATCCATGCCTGCGCTTTATGCTCACGTTCTCTGATAATTTTCTAATGTAAGCCAATATCACGATTTAATTACAGCGCACTCGCTGCACCTGCCACACATTGCGTGGCAAATGAGTTGCGCCTGATGCGCATTTGGTTAACTTCCTCTCTCGCTGCAGCATCTAACAATGTTTGCTCTAATGTCAGCCGTTAGTTAGCCGATAATTAGCTGAAATTTCTGCGTTTCTTTGCTTGTTCGAATTAGGAAGCAGCCAGAGGGTGAAATTTCATCGCCACATGGCCTGAGTAAACTTTGGGTTACATTCTTGTCTTGAGGTCTTGGAATGTGTGTGATGGAAATATTTGCTATTCGACTAGCGTTAATGAAATTCAACATCAAACACGATAGCGCCCTACTTGAGTCAGTTAATCAAAGGCGAATCAGTGCTGATTAGTCGATTGGTTTGTCTGCTTCTTATAGAGGGAGACTAGAGTTAATGAAATTCAACATCAAATATATTAGCGCTATACACAGTTAATCAGAGGCGTGTCTGTCTTCAATAATCAACTGGCTACTCTGCTTCTTATATAGTAAGACTCTTTCATGACTTCTTTGAGATCTGATAAAACATCTCATTCTCTATCTATTTCTCTAACTCAAACTCTAACTGTAACTTTAACTTCAATTGTCAAGGCAATCTTTATCTGAGTCTCAATCTCCAACTCAAATACATACTCTACAATAATCTCTATCTCAATCTGTATCTTTATCTTAGTCTCTGTCTTGTTCTCTACTCCTATCATAACTTCTATCTTTAACTCAATCTCCATTTTAACCTCAATCTCTACTGCAATCGTTATTTCTATCTCTATTATTAACTCAATCTTTATCGCTATTCTAACCTCCATTTCGTCTCTATCGTAATCTCTATCTCCAACTCAGTGTTACTCACAACTTTGTCACTTTATTTCTCAATTGCATCTTTGTATCACTTTTAATCGCAATTTCTAAATAATTCCTAATCTATTCCTCATTTTTATTCTCCATCATAGCTCATAACTCAATATCTGTATCAATCTCACCTTCTAGGTCTACATTAAATTCAATCTTAATTAGAATCTTACTTTCAATCTCTACCTCAATATCTGATTCAATTTCCATCTCGCTAGTCCTCTCTATCTCAACTACAATATCCTTATTAATTTTAATCTCAATCTCGATCTCTATCTCGATCTCTATATGAGTCTCAATCATAACCTCAACCTCAATCTCAATCTGTACCAAAATATCTATCCTATCACATTGTTAAACTCCTAAATGTAGCTAATGTAGAGCTCCTCTATAGATTATTCTACAGACATATATAGACGGTATGTCATCCATACTGAGGCATATCGAAAAACAAATTGATTTCATAGTGGATTCAAAGTGAGATGTTCGTTGTGTCTTTGTGCTTCCCTCTGTTTCATCGATAGCGTTTGTGCGAATGGCAGTGAGTAATCGATACTTTTTCAGCTTTACAACACTGCAAAGTGCTAGCAAATTGTAATTGATGGGGAACTGCTACGACTTTTGAGTGTATTGCAGACATCGAGCTGTTGTTGCTATTGTTGTTGTTGTTGTTTGGCTAATATTTATTTCAAATTGGCAATTTAAGGACTTAGTTCAATTAACTAACAGCTAGGGAGTGCTGCTGCTGGTGCTGCTGCTGGTGCTGCTCGTGCATGCACTGCAGTAATAAGCAATTAGCGAGGTCTAATTAGCTAGCCAAATGTTCAATTATTCAGCTCAGCGCTGCCAAAAGCCACTGGGCATGGACACGGACGTGGACATGAATGGGCATGGGCACCGACATAAACATGGACATGGACATGGACATGGACATGGTCATGGAGATGGACATGGGATATGCTATGGAACTATTCCGGTCAGGTTCGGTGAAATATAAAAACCACTTTTGCCGCATTTCGCCCAGCGAATTGAGTTCAATGCTCAGTCGAGCCGAGAGCAATGAACCGAATGGCAGGCATCGCAGTTGGCACACACACACATTCACACACACTCCCCCTGTGTGTAAGGAGCGAAAAGAATGAGAATGAGAGAAAATGCCTGTATGCAGAGTGAGCTTTGGCTGAGCTGCTGCTGGTGTCGCCGTCGCAATGGACCGCTTCAATGTTTATGGGGAAGCCAAACGAATCTGCTGCTAACAAAACATGGCTAAGCAATGCGCCGCCCGCTGCCGCCTGTTTTCGGCAGCCACGCCCACATTTTGTCTATTGCAACGCGCTTGAATGGCCTGGGAGCGGCGAGCCGTTGCAGCTTGCCGTGGTAAATTTCAATTTGGCAAACGTGCGGCGCATTTTGCTTCAGCCTTATTTTTCTCTCATTCGCTTGTTTCTTTTCTTTCTTTCATTTTTTTTTTTTTTTTTTGGCTTAAACTTTGAGCAGAGGCCGGGGCTGGCGACTGCGTTATTCAATGCGTTAGCAGCTCGGCTGTTGCACGTGCACCAGCAGGAGGAGGAGCGGGGAGCGGGGAGCAGCAGGATGAGCAGCAGCAGCATTCGTATCAGGGCGCGTTCCACGTTAGTGAATGCAATCATTTTGTTGTTTGTTTGCCGAGAAATGCAGCCGGACTTAGCTGACTTAGCAACGGGCCGCACTGCACTCGAGCCCAATGCGATGTCCTCGCAGCGGCATCATCAAATTTTGCAGGCAGGCGAATCTAGGCACTGGCTAAGTTTACATTTTACATTTGCCGTTTTGTTTTCTTGTTGCTCCCCCCTCCACCCCTTTTCATACTCTGTTTCTTTTTTTTTGCTCTCCCTTTTGAGGGATAGAGAGAATATTTGTCGGACGGCACGCGCGTGACACTAAAGCTTCCAACTAAGACCGCCTCTACAGCTGGCATCGATGCCGTTGTCGATGCCGTTGTCGATGTCGATGTCGATGTGGGCGCCCTTGCCCGGTGTTGCTCCACGGCCGAGGGGATATGTATTGCAGCATGCCTCTGGTAGCTATCAATGTCTGTAGACACACAGAGCGACAGAGGACACTGTGCAGAAATAAGTTTACTTAACAGAGCCGGTGCTTGCATATTGAAGCGCATTTGCTCTCAATGCTGCGCCATTACGAATAGTCCTGGTCTTATTAAAATCTTTTGATCCTTTGAGTGCATTGGATCTGCTCGCCAGCTGTGTTTCAATACAAACACCACTCGTCTCGTCCCCTCGGCACGCCACCCTGCTCTACAGCTGAGCATCTGTAGGGAGCAGATGTCTTAGAGAGCCATTTAATTCTGATAGGAATAGGTTGTCCTCTATCAAAAGTCTATGAATTTATCTCTTATATGTTTAAACTAATTGCAGTTAAAGATAAATCTAACTAAGCACTTGACTTATGTTGTGTTCCGTAGGTAGAAGATATATTATAATAATATATAATATATATTATAAATTATTTAAGTGATTCTATAGAATCATTTCAGCTATTGTAGCTCTACATAAATCAATTTGAAAATATTCTTTATATAGAAACTTTATTAAATTGAGTATAATTAGTAAAGAATATTCTTATATAAAAAATCGTAGCCTCAATTAGCTAACCATACTCATACACATAAAGTAGATCAACTATAGACTGTTGGCTCAACAATTGCTAATGTACTTTTTTGGAGCACTTGGGAAGGAGGCGGAAATGAGCTGAGATCGATGTTTTTGCACGCCTCTGGCAAGTGGCGTATGTAAATGCTTGTTGT